GCTCAAGTGATCTTCCCACCTCAGCCTCCTGAAGAGAAACTAAAGAATCGTTAACCCCTCTCTCTCTCCTCCTCATCAACATATCTTCTGGCTTTTTATCTCCTATAATCTCTCAACTCCATATTCTCTTATGAACTCACTTCTATTATTCTTGTCCAAGAGCTAGTTATCATTTCTCTCATGGACTCCAAGAGTCCAAGCATCAACTCTTGTTTCCTTCTCAGTTGTTCCTCTTGTCATAGTTAGAATGATGATTTCCAATCACAAACCACAGCACTCCTCACCCTTTACTCCTCCTCCTCTCCATGCTCACCATACTCCACCTTTCCTACTTAAAACCTTCCATTGTCTTCTCTAAACTCTTAAAAAAGTAAAAATCCTTAAAATGAGCTGTTAGGTCTGCCTGATTTGGTTAAATCTCCAGCCTCACCTCCTTCTACACTCCTCATTCTCTGTTCCAGCTACATTGGTTTTCTTCCAGTCCTTTATATAACATTTATCCCAATCCCTCCTGCCTCAGAGCCTTTGCACTTCCTGTCTCCATCGTCCTTTGCCTGGTTAGTAGCCTACATAGCTGTCAGGTCATGGCTCAATCTCATGTCCACAGGGAAGCCCAGCACACCTTCCTGAGTGCTCTATTCTAGGGCACTTCCACAGTGATGAGTTTACATTTATGCTCTTTTTATTACTGTCTGTCTCCCCCAAACCTTTAAACTCTATGATGTCAGATACTCGCCAAACACCCAGCAAAGTGCCAGGCACAGAATAGTCACTTAGTAAATATTTGTTGAATGACTGAATAAAAGAAAAAAATTCCTAAGTTGGGTTCTGGGAATACAAAGATGAATAAGGCACAGAACTTTCCAGAAAGCAGCTCACAGGTGGTGGGTAGGAGGGGACAAGCAGATGAGAGGAAGAGTAATCAGACCCAGGGTGGACCAGGGTGATAAGCACATACCAGAGGAGCAGGCCTGACCCTCAGAGGAGACAGTGGTGCTGGGCCTGCTCACCTTTCCCTAGATGAAGCCAAGTCCAGGTGTCTGCTGACTGAGGTGTCAGCCCTCAGGAACCCCCCATCACCAGAATCCTGAGTGTCGTGGGATATTACTGCTATGCAGTCAGCACTGTATCCCAGCCATGGCAATGCCAACCTACACTGCCACAAATCCTGCAGTGGCACCATCCTCAGGAACTGGACATAATTTGGGGCCTGTTTGGAACGCAGTGTGATAAAAGCTCTGGCTGCAGTGCAGGCACCATGCAGAGCCCTTGTCAGAATTGCTCCGGGTGCCTTCTGGACAGTGATCTCATCATATCCTCAGACCAACCCCGAGAGGCAGCAAAGGGTAATGATTTTTCTTGCCACTAGACAGCTAAGGGAACTGAGGTCAATAGAGATCACTTGACTTGGCCAAGGAATGAGAACAGCTTAGGAACAGAACTTAGAGGAAACCCAAGGTCTTCTCTGTAGGGTCCACCAGTCAAGTCAGACCAGTTGGTAGAGGAAGGCTCGCAAACTGAGGGTGTACTGCAGCAGGACCCGCACAGCTGGTCTATTTTGGTGCAGAAGGATATTTCATCGCCCCTTCCAACCCCTCAATGTTATGTTAATAACCTAATAGTAGATGGGCCCTCAGGGATCATCTGATTCAACACCTTTATGAAGGAGAAAACTGAAGCCAGAGAGATGAATCTCCTTTACTCTCCCTTTCTTTCTCTACTCTGCTGATGTCAAGAAGTAGGGCAGAGATTTTTAGCTGTCTACCCAAATCCCTTCTCCCCTTCTTTGCCTATGTGGCTAGACAACATTTCCCAGCCTTCTTTGCAGTTTGGTGAGTCACGTGACCATGTTCTCTGCAGTGGCATGTAGAGGAAGTGAGGCATGCCACTTCCAGGCCTGGCCCACCAACACCTTTCTCTCTCACATCTCCATGTTCTTTTCACGCCTTGGATACCAGAGCTACTTTGGAAGCCATACATTAGAGCATGGCTGAGTCACCATAGTGTGGATCCAGAAAAGATTGTGTGGAGAAGCTGTCCCATTGGTCTGACATCGGGGTCTAAGGCTGTTAAGTGAACAAGAATTTAACATCTATGGTGTTAATCTACTGCAATCTGGGGGGCCTGTTTGTTACTACAGCCTAGCCTAAGCCTAATCTAACTAACACAAGTAGAGGCAAGAAAGCCCTCACAAAAACTATGACTACATGAAGTATCAAATGGCAAAGACACTGGGCTCTGTACCGAGTTCACTGTCAACCACTTTGGAGTGCCCCCACTCCCACCTCTGGAGCAGTACCTGCCTATTAACTCACTGAGTCCAGGAATTTATTCTGAATTGGCTTCTCACCTATTTCATTCTAGATCAATTAGATTGCCAGGGCTGGAATGGATCTGAGAAGCTTTCTGATATATCCTCTTAGTTTCAGACAGGACATCTTTTAAGCCATCTGAGATGATCAAGAATCTTGTCCACATTTTCATATCCCTGGGAAGGAAACACTACAAAAGTCCTTAGACATGTTTTAATCTATGGCCACAGCATCCTGAATGTTCACGATCTTTTCTGATCTCAGAAGCTAAGCAAGATTGGGCCTGACTAGTACCTGGATGAGGGATATCTATTTCAAACCTCCTTGCTGCTGTGTCAGATCTTTGCTCATCTTTGCTTTACAGATAGGAAAATGAGGCCTAGATTGCACAATTAAATAGTGGTGAGGTCAGGAAAAGAAACAAGGGCTCAAAGACCAAGTTGACTATTCTCTCTGAGGTTCAATACTGCCTCCAACTCTCTCTTGAGGCTTTCTCAAGTTCTGCCCTAGGAGGAGAGGAAGAAGTGCTGGGATCCATCTACTCTATGATAATCTTCCCAGGTTCTCCCTGTGTCTCCCCATCTACCCAGCTGGCCGTTACCCTGAACTTGGTCATTTCTCTTAGAAGGTGGAGAGAAAATTAGAGAGAGATAAACCTGTGCTTATAGGGGAGGGGAGGCAGCAGGTGCATATTTGTTCCTTGGGCCTTGGTAGGAAAGGCAGATTCTGTAATGGGATCTCTGAATTCACACAGGAAGCCTGTAAGGGTCATTCGACCCTTAAACCTTCCTGGTTTCCCAGGGAGGCAACCAGAGCTATGAGAAATGATCTCTGTGGAAGGGAAGGAGTGGCAGGGACCAGAGCCTGTGAGCACAGTGTCTTGGCTTGCTGAGGCTTGTCTGGCTGGGTCTGGGCAGCTGTGCAGTACTGCCTGTTAATGTGAGAGCAGCATCCAGAGAAGTTGAGCGAGGGCCATGAGAGCAAACCGAGTACTTATAGGGCGATTATTTTTTGGTACTTTCTTGGAGAGACCTGGAAGTTCTGGATGAGAGCACTGAAAAGTTGGGTTTGTTTTGTAGTTCTTTAAAAACAAAACAAAATAAAACCAGATCTTTACTCCTCACTCCCTCATTTAAGGTGAGCTTATTTATACATAGCATTCCTTACGGTTTCTGCCAAATGACTCACTTGTACTGAGTCACCAGAAAGTGGGCCCAGGCCCATCTGCAGCTGCCCTGGACACCATGATGTGGTCATTCCTCTGGATGGGGTTATAGAGATCTGAAGACAGAGAAACAGAGAGGAGCAGAGATATGGGATGGGGAGACAAGCCTGAAAGTGAGGTCCGTACTCGTATTTTCACAGGCATTTAGTCCCCAACAGAACTGATGAAATCCCCAAGGAGCTCCAGTATTCATTTCAGTTGAGACATTGTCTGAATTATTGCAAATTCTGAATTAGAGGACAAGAATTAATAATGCCACAGGGTCATGCACAGATAAATCATTTAATCTTTGCGTCTAGCTTCAGAATCTTTCAAAAGTTATTTTCCCAACTTGAGCCCATCTTTCTTCACTTATAAACCTAAGAGGCTTGCAGTCCTAAAATTTAGACACTGTATTATTTATTTACTGAGAGGGGAGGGGACATGGACATAAACAAAACTTAATTTAACAAGAAAATTTGTTTACACTAAACCTTTGAATCTCTCCCAGGAAAGTTTCCATTTAAAATTCAGGGATCTCCATGCATCATTTTGTTTAATTTGCAATCTGCAGCCCTCTTCCTGATTAGAAGTTTGCCCTAGCCTGCCTGAATTCACAGTTTTCTTTTCCCTGCGGCCTGTCTGGGTGTCCTGGCGGTGACATCTCTGCAGAACTCTGGTGTGAGCCAAAGGCAGTGGTCTGATGGGAATGGAATCCAAGCTTGAAAGGGCGTAGGGGAGTACAAGGATCCTCGCTTTGGCCAGAGTGTGAGGTGTTAGGCTTGGCAAAAGCAAGCTCATCACCAGCCCTGGGGCCTGGAGAAGGGGTGTTGGTGGCGAGGCCCTTCAAATCAGTAAGGACAGGGGACCAGGCTCCTCTTCTCTTTCCTACCAAAGCACTTGGGATAATCTAGTTAGTACCAATCACGTTTCCCCAGGACCTGCTTCCTCCCCATCGCCCTCACCCCCACCCCCACCCCTGCCCGTCATTGTGCATTTAGGAGTTGGCAAAGTGTTTCCTGATTCGGAAGACTCGGTTTTTCTAGTTTTTCTCCCAAAGGCAAAGCAATGCTATGGGGAGTGTGTGTGTGACAAAAGTTGCGCCGTGGCTGTGTTGACCTCATCCCGCTGTCCCAGGCCGGGCCGCTCTCCAGGCGCCCGGCCCCAGCGCGGTTCCTGCCCTCTCCCCGCCCCCGGGCCTGCCGCGCAGGGCGGGTGATGTCAACCCGAGGAGGAGCCGCCCGCCCGCCCGCGACCCGCCCGGGCTAATTAGCATGTAGCGGCGCCGCTGGCCGCCTGCACCGCGCCCGCCCGGCCCCCGGCCGCCCTCCCGCGGCTCCCACAACTTTTGAGGCGGGGAGCGCGCTCGCAGCGGCACTCCGCTCACTGCCCCGGCCCCGCGCCGCACCCGCCGCCCGCTCGCCTCGCACCCGCGGCCGCCCCGCGCCGCCGCGCGGCATGTGAGCGCGGCGGGCGCCGCCACCATGGCCTCGCCGCGCGCCTCGCGGGTGCCGCCGCCGCTCCTGCTGCTGCTGCTGCCGCTGCTGCTGCCGCCGCCGGCGGCCCCGGACGCAGGGCCAGCCGCCCTCCCGAGCCCCCGCGCGCCTCGCCCGGCGCCCTCGCCGCGCGGGCCGGCGCCGCTGCCTGAGCGCGGCCCGGAGCGCGAGCCGCAGCGCCGCCGCACCGGAGCGCCGCGGGCCCGCGACCCCCGGCCCCAGCCAGACGGCCCCCGGGCCGGGCGCCGCGACACGGTGGGGACCCTCGGGCCCCGCAGCTCAAGGCGGGAGCGCGGGTGAGTGAGAGTCGGGGAGCGGCGCCGAGCGAGCGTGGGGCTGGGGGCGTGGGCGCGCCCCGGGGCTGCAGCCCCAGCCGTAGGCCCCTGCGCGCTGCGCCACCCCGAGTGGGGGCTCCGCTTGGCCGGCGCGGGTGGGACCCTGCGGGTGGGCTGGTAGGGAGGGACTCTTTCCTTGGTGGCGGGACTGAGGGGTGTGACCATCCCGTTTCCCTGTCCGCCCTTTGGAAGAAAACTTATCTCCTCCCATGAAGTGCCCTGTACCCTTCCCACCCCTCTTAAAAAATAAGAAAAGGAAGGGAAAAAAGACCTTCCAAATACACCTCTCCTGCCTGGGAGGTGACAACATCTGGCCGCCTTTCCCCAATTTCATTCTGTTTTCCCCACAGATACAGTCCAGGTGCAGAACCTGAATTTCAAATATAAGTAACTAATTTTTTAAGGGCTCTAGCACTGAGGATTTTGTAAAGGACAAAGGATGTAAGTAGTTTGAAACAAAATGCTGCACTGGTTCAACTCTAAAAGCAGAGGAACTGGGGGTGAGGTGGAGGGTGCAAGGTTAAACCCAGTTCTGCAAAGGCTGACACGGGACCCTTACCATTTCCCTCTCCTTTCCCAGTGACCTGCTGCTCCCTGCACAGCCACAGCCTGTCCCAGTCAGAGCAGGGAACGGACCTCCTCTCTCTGCTACCTTTGTGTGCAGTTCCTTCTTTTGGTCTGGAAGAAAATACCAAGGACTGAGTGGAATTCTAACCATAATACCATTATGACCTTGGAAATATCTCTTTTGATCTCACTTTCTCCATCTGTGAAATGGAAGTGATGATCCCAGTTTCTTCTAGCCTCCTAGTGATGATGTGACAAAATGAAAGTAAAAATAAGTGGAAAGTGCTTTGAACTAAGTCAGCAGCCTGGTGGTGTTAGCCTTTGCCTTCCTGTGAGTGACACGGGGCATTCGCACTCTCTGGGTTTTCCAGGAGAAGTTAGCTTGCTTGCAACGCTGGACATCGATTTGGCATTTAGGTGAAGGCTGAGAAGATTTTGTCTGCCTAATTCACAATTCACTTAAGTTTCTTGTATCACACAAACTTAGTATATGAATTAGCTTGCTTCAGCCAACCTAGAGGTGCTTCCTAGAATTAAATAAGAACAAGTATTTTTTTGGTTTGGTTTGTTTTTAAATCCGGTGTCCTGGTAAAAACTCCAATTCCAACGTATTCAACACTATTCATTACAAAATGCCTTATCCTTATGAATTTCTGAATCATTGGCATAAGATTGAGAAACTGAGGAACAATAAGAAAACGGAGAGGAGAAAGAAGCTTCCAAAGACAAGAGACACGACCCAGAGTGATTCTGACTTTAGATTCCTTACAGCATATGTTGTTTTGCTAAGTTCCTCAGGAAGGACTCAAAAACATAAAAGAGAACATTTCCTGACACTCTCAAACCAGAGAAGTAACCGGGGAATGCTGTATATTATAGCGTGAGTTTTTCTAAATAGAAAGTGGAGTGCAGGGAACTAAGGACATTTCAGAGGAAATACCCAGGAACCGAAGGCAGGTTTCTCTGGCTGGTATTCAGGCTTTCTCAGCTGAGGGGCCCAGATCTTGTCCTTAGGGCTTAAGTGGGAGGGACGCTGACTTGCCAGGACCCTGGCCAGATGCGGCTGGCACATGAGTCTCCTTTATGGCTAGGGACTCCCATAGATCATGGAGAGGTAGGTGTTACAGAGAGGGACATCGGAGGCAACTGGCTTAGGGGACTCAGCAGGTAAGAACTGGGGCCTTAAGTAACAGGTGTGGCAGGTGACACCGCTAGTACTTGGCTTTGTGACCTTTCCAGTTTGATTCATTTGGGGAGGTGAGTGTGATGGAGGCTGCAGATGGGTGAGGCACTGGGAGGAATGCAGGTGAGAGTTCCAGAAAGCAGTTAAGGAAGAGCCAGCATAGTACAGATCTCTTACCCAAGGTGGGCTCTCCTGATCTGCCGGTGCCCCCAGAGAGACCGCCCAGCCAGTGCCTGCTTTTCAGCTGCTCTAAGGCCCGATCTCGGCTGGGATGTTAGAAAGATGAGATTAGAAGTGATGATATCAATTACCTGTTGAAAACTGCTGGAAGCTGCTAAAATGACTAAGGATCTAGGCATGACTTGTGCTTGTTTCTTGTACGGGCTTGTTTCAAACAGTGTCACTTAGGGGTAAAAAAGAAACAACAAAAAAGAAAACCAGCATTAGGTAATTTCAGTGAGCCTCTGAGGATTGTCTCTGGCCCTTTTTGATTGACTACCATGTATCACTACGTACTATCACTTATTCACAAGGCAGCAAAGTCTCAGTGCAGAAAGGGCCTCCAGAGGTCCTTTAGTCCACCCTGTCCCATGCAGATGCCTGCCCTCTCCAGCACCCCTGACAGATGGTCCTCCAGGCTCTGCATCAACGTTTATGTTTGGGGAGGTATGCGCTACTGCTGGTAATGAGCCCTGAGTCTTACAAATAACATGCCCCATTGATTGACAGAGAAGCTGCCTGCAGCTCCTTCTTGCTGCGGGGATGCTGGTAGTCAGTGCCAGCCATTGTGGCTTCCAAATACACTGGTGTCAGCAGCAGGGGCCACAGATGTCCTTTTATTCCCCATGGTCCAGTTCTAGCCCTTCTCTTACCCCTGGCAGAGTTCAAGGTTCTCACTGGTAAGTAACAGCATTTGTTTCTATTTGTGGGCTGCTTGCCTGTATTAGACTGTACAGCCCTGGAGAACAGCCCCCTGTTTGTATAGCCATTGTTAAGCCTTTTTGCCCACCTGCCACCCTGCTGGCTGTTCCTCTGACGTTTATGGCTGGGACTTCAGCCAGTGATGATAGGATGCTGAGACCTAGAGGTTTTCTTTTTCTGCATGTATTTGTCTACTACTCAGGGGTTCTGAGCCACAGTTCTAAGCTGGTGTTACGTTTATATGCCTTGATTTTGTGATAGATAGACCATGCTGTAATTGTGAGATTTACAGATGAGAGGGGGAAAAAAAAGCTTAAATCATAATGAAAATCAATGCAGAAGGAAAGAACTTTCCCACCCAAAGGGGAAATGACGCTAAGTAGCTGAGCAGCCAGCCCAAGAAATAATAATCTTAGAAAAATGCAGCTCCCTAGAGGAAAGGAAGTGCTTTGAGCCCAGCCCCTTCTGAGCTGTTAAATAGCTGTCGCCTGAATTGCTCTGGCTTTGTGGGCCAACTTCGTCATTTAGCTTGGCTGCTAAAAGAACATTACAAGGTGCAGTGGAGCCCCGGGCTGGGCAAGAGGCAGCCCCTAGGGAGGGGAGAGTGGGTTTACCCCAGGAACAGGGCCACCTCTCTACTGGCTGAGGCTGTGTGATGGTGGAGGGGGATTCCTGAGAAGCCTGCTTGCTTTGATGGAGGGTGCCCCAAATAGGAGGGGTGTAGGGAAAGGGACTCTCTGTGGTAAGCGTTTGTTTAAAAGCCACATCCTTTTAACCTTGCAAGAACCCTTTTATTGCCACCCTTGGCGTGTGTGCAAATGCTAAACTGATATTTTCTGCCCGAGAGCTGCATGGGTAGATATTGGAAGGCTGCAAGGTGTCTGCTGTCCAGCTGGGCAGTTACTGCATCCTAATCCTGGAGGCTGGGGAAGCAGTCTCTGCCCTCCCAGTGATCCTCTTGCCTGTAGCAGCCCTGCCCAGCTGGCTGGAAACAGTGCTCCTGGAGTTAACTTGTCCTTGTCCAGGGACACTTGGAAAGAAAGCGAAGAACAGATGGCAGCTGCGGTTTCGTTAGGCACTTACTGCCTTCTTCAGTGGCTTCCCTCTGTCCCAAGCGTCCTTTTTGTATGAACAGGAGGTTTCGGCTGTTATGAATGTCCCTCTCTTCCAAGAATGCTAGAGAGGCAACAAGGAAGGACACTAGTTTTGGTCCCACTTTTGACTCCCTAGCATTTGAGCACTGTATGTGGTCAACGCTTTTGCATTTCTTATCCCAATTAACCCTCCAAACAGTCTTGTGAAGGATATTATTTCCCCTTTATAGTTGAGGATATGGAAACCTGGACAGGTTAGATCACACAGTAAATGAAGGAGGCAGGATTTAAATGGATTTAGACCAAATCCATTTGCTCATTCCACAATGTCCTGGTCTCAGTTTTCTTACTATAAAATGGAGTGACACTTGTCCTAGATCTTTAACATCCTCTCCAGGTCAAAATTGTTTTTCCTCTCTTCCTCAGCTCCTTGCTCTTGCCTTTTTGTAGAGAGTAGAGGCCAGGACCAGGATAGGGGAGGAGTTGGGGAGACAGCAGTGGCCATGCGGACAACCTGCAGTGTGGAGATCCCCCACATTTTTTTTTGGAAATTACCTGAGAAAAGACCATAAGTCTTTGTACATGTATAAAATGGTATTTTATACAGAGATTGTAAATTATGCCCATTCCTATGTCAATCCATAGGTTGTTGATGCCAGAGGCTGCTACATTAATTATCAACCAGACCGAAATGAATTGTTGGCTCTCTTAATGGGCTCTCTCCTGGGAACTGGGGCCAGTGGCTGATGTTATGAGGCAGTTGTTATTAATACCCTTTCAACAGGGGAGAGGTTAAGTGCTACCCCATTCAGTTGCTGTAAAATTACTTTCTTCTGGGTGTTGGGCAGATGGGGTGGGGAGAGGAGGGGATGGGTATATTCACACCTACTAGGTGTGGTGTGTACTGTCTGGGGGATGGACACGCTTGAAGCTCTGACTCAGGTGGGGCAAAGGCAATATATGTAAACAAACATTTGCATCCCCATAATATACTGAAATAAAAAAAAATACTTTCTTTTAATGTCTAGGCCCTCCTCTACTCACTCACCATTCATCTTGTGTAGACAGAAACAAAGACATTTCTATCCTGTTTTTTCGCTCTTCTGTTGGATTGCAGTGGATATCTCTGTTGGTGACACAGTTGACTGATTTGGGTATTAGGAGACATTTACCGAGGACGTCTGTGGGAAGCACTG